ACATCCCACCCTTCCTCGATTTCTCAACTCTATACCTACACCTGTCAAACACTGCGCGTTTATCGCTCTCCAAACACTTTCACACCAACCACTTTCAAACATTTTCGCAAACTCACCTTTATTTTTTTTTCTTTGCTTATCCGTAAAAACAAACCCATACGGCCTGGAAAAATCGACCTCACTTAACAAATCAGGATTCAGCACATAACCGCACCGAGATTTCGAACTAAACACAACGGCTGTATTTAAAATACATACGGTAAGGGAGTTTGGCGTGAAAGAAAGATCGTGCGTGCACTACAGCAAGCCAGCAATTCCCACGATCAATCGACGTAGTTGCGTGGCCCGTGCAACGGAAATTTTCACGCTGTAGAAAGTTTCAGAAGTCGTGCAACGAACATGGACATCTAAAATGTCAGCTTGGCGTTGTATACTAGACAATGTGAGCAAATTAAGGTGTGGAAAGTGAAAGTCGTGCATCGCGTATCGTATCAGCAATAAAGATCCACGATACCTTGGAAAGATCCGCCTTAAAAATTCATCGGAGAGTGTTTGTTTCTTGTAGCCGTGCTAAAGGTTGTAATTTTTGCGGGTTGTTAACATTTTGTTCTGAAACTTTCCTCGAGAAACTTTCCCCGTTGAACGCGCTAAGCAACTACGGCGATCGATGAGGAAATCTACGTCGTGTAAGAAAACACAAGAGTCACCCGGCAGCTTCTCTTCGCTGATTGGCCAGAAAAACATTTTTCTGGCCAATCAGAAGGAGGCAATTCAAACGCCTCTGGAACTGGTTCGGTAAGAGTTAGTGCCCAGGGGGCTCGTCTCGATTAGCCTGCGAGCAAGCTCTCCTATTTGGGCGAGCGAAGCGAGCCTCGCGAGAACGCGCGAGCGAGGGGCCGAGGAAAGGAGAGCTTGCAACCATCTCTCATAAATTTTCATTTCCACCCCGGAAACCCCGGGACTCCACAAAGCGCGAAAATTGTCACCGCAAACGTGCGGCAGATTAGAAAAGTGACAACCGCCTGTCAAGTAAGTTTAGACAGCCGAAGGCGCGTAGAATTATTTATTTATAAATCGCTTTCGCAACAGCATTAAAGCAATGTTTTTAATATCACTGACATGTTTTTTTTTTTTTTTTTTTTTTCACGGGGACATCGAACTTCAACGTGTCCGCTCGGATAAGAACTCACTACTTTGATTCTCGTTTCGTTTACTTTTGAAAGGTCGTCCATACTGCAGCGTAGAAGACTACTCCCCATCGCAATCACCAACAAAAACATCATATATTTGTCCGTCTGGAACTGGAGAATAGAGTTTTCGGCACTTTTCTCTTAAGGTTTACTCCAGTTGCTTCCAACTCTTTCTCTTTTCCTTCCTTACGATCAAGCTACACAGCTACACTGTCAAGTACATGTTTCTGAATTTTTCTACCCAGTAGAATTCAATCGGGCGAAGAAACCGATGTTGGAAGGCAGCGCTTTAATCACTCTTCACTTTCACTCTCCCGGTTTTCAGAACTAAACAAGGCGCTTGACACAAATGAATACAACTGATGAAGGGTTTTCATTTTCCTTCCACAAGAACTACAAACTCGGTCCGACTTATCCTCGGCACGCAATATTCTCTTTGCGAGAATTACAACAAACGAGCCCGTCTGCATTGAGCGCTGAAACAAGTTCTCGGTACCAATCTGATCCCCCTGAGAACCAAATTTGACACACAGACGAAGCGGGTGCCAGCTTGGCCTGTTATCAATCAACTTTGATTTCCGGAACGTCATTTTTCAGCCAATGGTATTTCCCTTCGTCTGGGCGAAGTACAAATGAAAATTTGTAAGGGATGGTTGCAAGCTCTCCTTTCCTCTGCCCCTCGCGGCTTCGCCGCTCGCTCGCGCGTTCTCGCGAGACTCGTTTCACTCGCCCAAATAGGAGAACTTGCTCGCAGGCTACGTCTCGATCTTACAGAAAACTTTCACCACGAACATTTTATCGACCCGACTAACTGCCCCTGGGTCTCCGAGGATGCCCCTGTGGGTGATACCCGCTGAAAATGGACCAAATTACGCGGGCATCACCCGCTGAATTTATACGTAGTATAGTACGTTCAATATGGCGGTCCATAAGCTACACAATTATCTGTTCAAGTAACCGTCATATTTTAGATTAATTTAAAAAAATTCCCCCTTTTTGAAACAGCGGAAGATAAATAGACTAAACACGAACATATATTAAAGACTATTTGATAAAAAAAAATGCAAATTTTCAAACAATTCCAGCCAACTCCGCATTCATCGAAGATGAATAAGAAATAAGGCGAAGTTACATTGCTCAAAGTAAAGTTTTACTTCATTGTGTTGGGTTAAAATCCATCAGTGTTTTGAGATAAAACGTGTTTAGTAGACAGTTGTAGTTTTCAAGACGGAAAAGGAAATATTCTGGGTTTCGGGAGTGCGCTCTTGGTCACGTCCTATAGGATGCCTATCCACGGGCGTTTTTAAGGCGGGCAAATTCGAGGAAGAAATTTTCTTACAGTTCCCCCAAAATGAAATGTATTTCTATGATATTGACATCAAACTATTCAGAATCGTGTAACAGAAACGTTTTAAGCAAAAATCTGGTCTTCCAAGTGCAGCGTGTGTGACATCCTATAGGATGCCTATCCACGGGCGTTTTTAAGGCGGGCAAATTCGAGGAAGAATTTTTAGTACAGTTCTCCCCAGATGAAATGTATCTATATGATATTAAAATCAAACTATTCAGAACCGTGTAACAGAAACGTTTAAAGCAAAAATCTGGTTTTCCAAGGGCGCAAAGTAAAGAATTTTGGAATGGCGAGTGAGCGTGTGTGACATCCTATAGGATGCCGATCCACGGACGTTTTTAAGGCGGGCAAATTAGAGGAAGAACTTTTTATTACAGTTCGCCTCAAATGAGGTATACTTCTATGATATTAACATCAAACTGTTGGGAATCGTGTAACAGAAACGTTTAAAGCAAAAATCTGGTTTTCCAAGGGTGCAAAGTAAAGAATTTTGGAATCGCGAGTGCAGCGTCTGACATCCTATAGGATGTCGATCCACGGGCGTTTTTAAGGAGGGGGACATTGGGGAGTACCTAATACCGCAATACCGTACGAAAAATTGGCAAATACCGAAATACCGTGTCGAAAATGGACGAAATACCGATACCGCATTTATGGTCGGTGACGCTTACTTAACGTTGATCCATCTCGCGAGTTTTTTTTTTTTTTTTTATCTCAAGCACGTGTACACCAGAAATCAACCTCAGCCTTCGCGAGAAAACGTGAGAAGATCTCGAACTGATAGGTACAACGATCGAAAAGCCAGGTCATTAGATGTCCTACCACATCACAGAGTAACTGTCAGAAATTGAGTATTCATTTACCGTTAAGTCTAAAGTCTTCCAAACATTGACCTACATTAGACAGGAGAGGCCAAATGAACAGTACCGCAATACCGTGAAGGATCTTCTTTTACCGAATACCGTTAGCCAGAAGGATGAAAAACCGCATACCGCACGGCTGAATGATACCGCAATACCGCACATTAAAATCAAAATTACCGAAATACCGCTTGAAAAAATGCTCAATACCGCAATACCGTAAACCCCCATGTACCCCTCTTTAAGGCGGGCAAATTCGAGGAAGAAATTTTATTACAGTTCTACCCAAATGAAATGTATCCATATGATATCAACATCAAACTATTCAGAATCGTGAGAGAGAAACGTTGAAAGAAAAAATCTGGTCTTCCGACAGCGCAAAGTGAAGAATTTTGGAATGGCGAGCGCAGCGTGTGTGACATCCTATAGGATGCCTATCCACGGGCGTTTTTAAGGCGGGCAAATTAGAGAAAGAAATTTTTATTACAGTTCCTCCCAAATAAAATGTATTTCTATAATGTTAACATCAAACTGTTTGAAATCGTGTAATATAAACGTTTAAAGAAAAAATCTTGGCTTCCGAAATTGACGATTTCTAGTATGTCGAGTTTATCGTTGATCACATCGCATGATGCCGATTTTTTTTTTATCAATTTCCATTAATTGAAGAGTATTTCTTTAATATTACCCTTAAAACGGATATTTAACACTATTGATGATTTTGCAGATATCCATATTTCGTAATCACTACTGCTCCGATTGATCAGAATTGCCGGACAGACTGACACGCTATCAGCAATAGTTTGCGCAACACTGCTAAGTCAGGTACCGAAACAGCGCCTTTTTGCGTAATTCTGCTACCAAGTTTCTCTTTAGGCTAGCGTTTTAACATTTGACCGGTTTAGTACTGAGCTAATTTTTTTTTCTCACTCTATCAAAATGTCTTCTGTGTCTACAACTGAGAATTCAGCACGGTAAGTGTAGAATTCCTTATCACGTGTAAATTTTAGTTTTGCTTTCCGTACACTGTACTCAGTGACATATCACTTTCAGACGCGTTACTGTGTCTTAATGTTTGTTTTTTAGAGTAAACAAGTCACAGTTAAATGGATACAACCTAGCTTTTCTGCAAAGAGACTCCTGCCTTGGATGGTTGGTTTGGTTTGGACACATTTTTGTTTGATCACTTAGGGGTGACAAAATCAGGATATATAAATCAGGGGCACCCAACGACGGTTTCCTCCTAAATGCATCGAAACCACTTTTCAGGCTATGCAGAGGACTCATTAGGTTTCTAGAGATGTATTCTAAACGGCGCTATAAAATTTTAGTTTGTTCGGTGATCTAGGGCAACTGGAGTCTTTTTGAAAATACAAGGGTTTCAGTAGGATTTTCCCGAACATTTTTGATGAAGGGGTTAACTGAATGTCTGTGTCACGCAATTTCATACCGTCTTTTTATTATATGACCGGGACGAATGCTCATTCTGTATAAGTATGTATTCTAGGGAAATTGAAAACGAAATGCCAGCGTCCTTTATTGCCTTACAGAAGGTACAAAACAGATGACTTTCGCTGAGAGGAATTTTTTTTATCGAGAATGTGGAAAGAGCTTTCTGAAGAGGAACGAAATAAATTTAACAGAAGAGCCCTCTATGAAGATGTAATAACAAAAAAGGAACAGATAAAAAGAACTTTAAAAAAAGTGAAACGGGAGGTAAAATTTTGACGAATTGAATAAATAATTATAGAATTGAACTTTTCCAACTTAATGCTAAGTAACTTAGACGATGTGGAAAAAGGTGGTAAATGACCCTTTTGCATATATACCTAGGTACATTTAATTATCACTTTTTACTGACTTACACTCCGCCCTTTCTCCCCGCACATGCTATGTAAACAGACTTGATTCTGAGGTTTTGTCATTATGAAACTTGACATACTTAGTTGTTAAACCTTGTTCTTATTAGAAATTCTTCGTCTTCTTCTTCTTCTTCTTCTTCTTCTTCTTCTTCTTCTTATTATTATTATTATTATTATTATTATTATCATCATCATCCACGTTAAACACAGCTTTTGGATAGCTTGATAGATGATTTTTAATATTATTATAAATAATAATACTAATAATATTAATAATAACATGTTTAAACAGAATGACCATTTCAGTTATAAAAACTGCTATCAATATGGGTCCTGTATAAAAATAAATGAATAAAGAGATAAAAACTTAATTATATACGAAACTGGAATACATTACATAATTATAATCAGTAAAAAAAGGCAGCCTCGGTATGAACAAGAGTGCATACAATCGTTAAAACAGGGTAGCCCCCTTATAAAAAAAAGACCCTATTATTATCAATTAATTAAGTAATATTTTGTTATCATCGCGGCTAATCTCTCGAAATGTTCTTACATCTCGATATCTCTCTTTTGTTCGTCAGTGTGACAATCTCAAGGATTTAGGGGTAAAGTGCCTTTTTATGTGCGACATGGGAAAAGGTGACGTAGATGTTTTTGGTCACCCGAGAGCGATTCAGTTCGTGGAGAGCAACCGGCTTGCCCCCAAGTTCTACTCGTTTGTAAATGGAGACGGTAAGTGTCAGATATGATTTTCAACAAATTAAATCTTTAGTAGCAATAGAATTCTTACAATTTAACAGTGCAGTGGACTTCCTTTAATTAATACCTGCAACATTTTTACCATTTTCCCTCCACTTTTCCCAGGAACGCCAAGGGAAGAGAGACAGGGTACCTCTACGTCTGAAAGGGAGGAATTGCGCCAAAACGTCTCGAAGTTATTCAACAGTAAATACAGTAAGTAATCGTTTGTTGTTGTTTTTTTTTGTTAATTTTATTTCAAACTTTACACTTCTGGGCCGAGTTGTTCGAAGGCCGATTAGCGCTTAACCCGGGTTTCTTTTTCTTGTGTTCAAAAGTATTTTCTGAGATAATTCTCTCTGTTAATGTTACAGCTTTCAATCATCAACTTGTAGACTTAAAAGAATTAAAACTGAAATGCTTTTTAAGCTTTCAAATCTGAATTCAAATCTCGCACTAACCCTGGGTTATCTTCACCAAGCTTTGAACAACTCGGCCCTGGGGCCCGTTTCTCGAAAGTCCCGGTAACTTTACGGGCCCGAAATCAAATATTCAAATCGAAATATAAAGAATAAGAGCGCGGGTCCTGGCCAGCAAACCACTCCATTTTGTTTCATTAACTGACAGTTTTATCATGTTAGATGCAAAACTATTGAAACCTCGATCTTTAATGTAAACGGAGACAGCTTACCGGGCCCGTTAATTATCGGGACTTTCGAGAAACGGGCCCCTGGTTGACAGTCTTGTAGTTGGTTTATTCCGTGAAATTGCCTTTTTGAAAAGCTTACCTTGTTATAACGTATTTAGCCCGATTTATGAAATGTATTATTTAGTGGATTGTTTCAATCTTGCTATTCATCCTCTGTTACGTCACCTGCAGAAAAAAAAAACGATTAAAATGTTATATCCCCGAGCTAGTAAAACTATGAAGTTAAAAAATTCTTTAATAGTGATGTACTAACATACGGGAACTTTTCAAGGGCAAATTTACGTTTATTCAGTTCTTTTTTTTCGTCGTTCTCTTTATTGTTCTCTGCCCCATAATATTTGCGTATGCTTTTGCTCGAAATAGTCATGATCAAACCAGTTTTTTCTTTCGTGGAAAACAAAGAATCGGTGCTGATTCATTTTTTTGTGATTTTGTTTTTGTAGGCGTAGCCTGCGGTAGGACAGATTTGAGGGTCCCTTATAAAGATATCAAGGACAATAAGATATCTTTGGAAGTGTTACATATGGGTTCAATTCCTCTTAAACACCCATCTAGTTATGGGGTGGGAACATTAAAAAGAATAATATCGTTCAAAGACGATATTATTTTTAGGCTAAATAACCCAGCCTCCATCCCATCAACTACCAGTTCCACCACCACCACTACTCTTGGCATGAGTACATCATCGTCAGTGCCTGGAGTAGCAGCAACAACCTCCGTGTCTGTTACTACACACAACCAAAGTTCATCAGCAACGTCGTCGGCCCCTGGAGTAGCAACACACAACCAAAGTTCATCAGCAACGTCGTCGGCCCCTGGAGTAACGACAACAACCTCCTCAGTTACTACAGGTAACCAATCTTTATCAGCAACGTCGTCGGCCCGTGGAGTAGCAACAACAACCTGCTCAGTTACTACAGGTAACCAATCTTTATCAGCAACGTCGTCGGCCCCTGGAGTAACAACAACAACCTCCTCAGTTACTACAGGTAACCAATCTTTATCAGCAACGTCGTCGGCCCCTGGAGTAGCAACAACAACCTCCTCAGTTACTACAGGTAACCAATCTTTATCAGCAACGTCGTCGGCCCCTGGAGTAACAACAACAACCTGCTCAGTTACTACAGGTAACCAATCTTTATCAGCAACGTCGTCGGCCCCTGGAGTAACAACAACAACCTCCTCAGTTACTACAGGTAACCAATCTTTATCAGCAACGTCGTCGGCCCGTGGAGTAGCAACAACAACCTCCTCAGTTACTACAGGTAACCAATCTTTATCAGCAACGTCGTCGGCCCGTGGAGTAACAACAACAACCTCTTCAGTTACTACACATAACCAATCTTCATCAGTAACGTCGTCCGCCCCTGAAGTAGCAACAACAACCTTAGTTACAACATCGAACACAATCACATCTACAGAAACAAGACCCACCTCCTCTGTCCGTAGAATAACAAGATCAACCACCTCTAATGTAGCCTCTAATCCATCCTCCCTCCTCCTCTCGTCTACCGTTCAAGCCATTGCATCCTCGTCCACCGCTGCTTTGAGCAGGAGAAAAAGAAAAAGAAGACAACAGAGCAGATAGGAGGTTCGTTTCTATAGAATATTTCGTATGCTCTGCATACCGTGTCTATTCCCTCCTCTTGCGGTATATTTGTATACAAGCTCGTAACGTCCATTGAAACAAGTATGACGTCCACTGGGACTTTCGTATTTTCTATGAAATTGACGAAGTCGGTAGTATCTTTAAGATAAGACTTTTGTTTTTGTGCTATCGGCTGAAGGAGTTTGTCGACAAATGATGATAATTTCTCTGTTGGGCCATCACACGGGAATTAACATATTCGCAAATTTTCATAAAAAGTCAGACTGTACTGCATAAATAATTTTGTTCCGTAAATCTTTATCCAGTATAAATATGTTTCTATTTATGTTCATTGTACTGATAAAAATTTTTGGGCGAACAATTTCTTTCTACCTGTATATTGATATTTATTACTAGTAAAGAATTTTGGGCGAAGAACTCCACGCAAGGTCAATCATTCTGTTTAATAATGAATTTTTACTAGTAAAAAATTTTGGGCAAGGAACTCTTCGCGATATCAATCATTATGTGTGTTATAGGAAATATATACTTGTTAAAAAATTTGGGCGAAGAACTCCAAGCAAGCTCAGTCATTCTGTACAATTATAAAAACATACCAATAAAGAATTTTGGGCCAAGAACTCCACGCAAGCTCAATCATTCTGTATAATAATGAATTTGTACTAGTAAAAAATTTTGGGCGAGGAACTCTTCGCGATATCAATCATTATGTGTGTTATAGGAAATATATACTTGTAAAAAAATTTGGGCGAAGAACTCCAAGCAAGCTCAGTCATTCTGTACAATTATAAAAACATACCAATAAAAAATTTTGGGCGAAGAACTCCACGCAAGCTCAATCATTCTGTATAATAATAAATTTGTCCTAGTAAAAAAATTTGGGCGAGGAACTCTACGCGAAGACAATTTTCCTGATTAATTTAAATATATATTAACTAGTAAAAAAAATTGATTGAGCAACTCCTCGCCAAGACAACCGTTCTGTTGAAAATAACGATATACTAACTCAAAAAAAATTTGGGCGAGGAACTCATTGCGAAGACAACCTTTCTGTTTAAAAGACGGATATACCAAGGGAAAAATGTTTGCGGTAATTTTTATTCGCGAGATCTCATTTTCGAAAACAAAACAATAAGAATTTTAAAAATGCTCTGAGTCCCGGTGTTTTTCTTTTTCTTTTTTTTTTTTTTTTACTGAACATCTCCAGTTGCGTTTTAAGCACTGAACTGTATGATATACATTGCATACCTGTATTTCTTCAGACATTTTCAGGTGTATGATTCTTCAAATAGTTCTACGTTAAATATGACTTCAAAGCAACGTGCATGGATTGAAGCCTGTTCACTAATCGGTAAAAACCTCATGCAGCTCGGATTTTATACTTTTCTTCAGGGATAAGAATAGACATGGACGTCACCAAAAGCTGGTTTGCACAATCAACATAGATCGAGATAGATCTGCAAAAGTTGTGAAATCTGACGTAACTTCTGATAATCAAGCACATCGGTGATGGTTGTCTCTAAGAAAACCGACCTTCTCAATAACCCTATGCCGGGGGGTCTCGGACCTAAACTGGAACATGTATGAAAGGATAAGGCTTGAGTTTAAGTCTATGAAAACGTCGGCAAATCTGTCATTTCGTTCTGTAAAAACTGACCAAAAAGTTCGCAGATGCAATTTAAGACTGTTAAAAAGACAGACAAAAAACGTCCTCGTTTAGTGATTTATTCCTAGCAAAAAGATAAGACATTTCAAGTTTTAACACTGCGTTTTAAGGGATTCAGTGTTTTAAAATAGAAAGGCTGGTACTATTTGATAGTAAACGAGAGGGGTACCTTTTCTGTTAAAACTGGTAATAGTATAAAAGGGTGAGGAGTACTGAGAAACCCAAGACCGAGCATCCCTGTAAAAACTTTATCGAGTACCCCCAGGACGAGCACACTTAATGTTTTACCGGCCGGTGTCACGCAAAATTGCAATATTTAATGCTTTTCTTTTGATACGATGACTACATTTATTGCATTTATATCACCCGCCCCCATTTTGGGGTTCTCGTATTTTAGAAGGTATGCAAAGGCTTTATTGGAAGCTTCACAGTTTTTCTCAATTAGTACTGCAGTACGCATGCTGTCTCAACTGGACTTTGGGAAGACCATGAATTTCTCGATACAGTACGTCATGATGAGAATTTCCTACGTCATGATGAGACAGACCTTCATACGTCATGATGAGAACTTCCCTGGGAGAAGTCCTACTCAATGACTTTTTATGTGTACTGCAAGTGACGCAGCAACAGTAGAAATCTCTAATGCCACTGGAAGGAACGTGGGAATGGCAGAGGCAGTAAATCTTTTTTCACAGGAAGGTTACTCGGTCACATACTATACCGTATGAAGCTTTCAAACCTACTCAATTTTATTTTAAAACCACATTGCCAAGAGGCCATAATGTGAAATTTCAGTGATAAATAGCGCTGACACCACTCAGTAGCTTCCAGTATTGCGACATTAATTGGGAAATTCTGCTCTCTAGAAAAAAAAAAGATAAAGATAGAAAGGTCGATAATTAAGGAGATGCTTAAGCATTTGGGACCCACTTGACGACGTACTAATGGAATTAAGGCACGTTCATTGATCTGTTTCTGTGAAGGACAAAAAACATAAACTACAAGTAGTCTCCATATCTCCTCAGGGACAGTAGACCGAGCGAAACGCGAGCACGCGTAATCCGACCCCACGCGAGAAAGGCGAAACGCGCTGTGGAGAGAGAAAAATGACGAACCATAGACAAAGCCCAAGCTTTTGCCCCTTCACGGCCGAACGATTTGGGAGTGTGAAGTTCGTTTCCCCTTCCAAATCAATTAAGCGCGTCCAATGGAATTCACTCTCTCATTGAGCTGTCATTGCTCTTTTCATCGGTAAACTGCGGGGGGGATATTTATAGCAAGTAGGAGAAAACCCAAAGAAACAAATCTCGAAGAATGCATTGCAGCTTAAACTAAAGCTACATTAACTATGGAGACTCAATTGCGATGTCACTCAGTCATGATCGCTCTTATAGACTACAAGTAGTCCCTATCTTTCCTCAAGGATAGTAGAACGAGCGAAACCAATTTTTTTACTAGTAAATATTTATTATTATACAGAGTGGTTAAGCAGGCGTAGAGATCTTCGCCCTAAATTTTTTTACTAGTATATAGTTTTTATAATACAGAGTGGTCAACCTTGCGTGGAGTTCATTGTCCAAAATTTTTTACTAGTATATATTATTATAATACAGAGTGGTGAACCTCGCGTTTAGTTCATCGCCCAAAATTTTTTACTAGTATATATTATTATAATACAGAGTGGTGAACCTCGCGTGTAGTTCATCGCCCAAATTTTTTTACTAGTATATATGTTATGTTAAACTAGATTACATTTTTACTGAGTAAAGTTGTTGGCACAAATTTATTTATACAGTACTGTCTGACTTTTTCGCGAAATTCGCACAAGTGTATATACCGCATCACACCCTGATACTATCGGTCTGCCGACCGGGGACGGCTTGTGTATCTTAGTGAGGGTGTAAAATTCTGGAATTCGAGGCGGATTTGGTGTTTGACAAAGCCATTTTTTAGTCACAGGCACTCAGATATTGGAAAGACGCGAAAGTAAAAGGCACGCGAAAAGTTTTCTCCCGTTTTATTTTCGTGTTCGCGCGTTCTCAATTCAGCGGGCCCGACAATCTCGGAGCCAGGAACAGGCTAAGCCTGGTGAGGCGAGAAAAAAGCAGGAGAAAAGTCTCGATCTCCGTTTTCAGCCTCGCTCCAGACCTTTTGTTTGACTGTTCGCGCGTATATGAATACGCAAAAATACGGACTGTTTTGCAGTCCCCATTCCAGCGTTCCTGATTTTTTTTATCATTTACGAATAGATACCCACTCGGTGTATGCAGACACGTATTGTATCGCAGATTTCCAAAATGGCGGCAGCAAGTGAGGAAGATGTCGAAGGCGATGCTCCAAATGGCGCTTCTCTCCTAGCCTCTGCCTTGAAAACTCAAGGTGTGCAATATATGTTTGGAGTTGTGGGTATTCCGGTTGTCGAGGTGGCGGGAGCTGCACAGGCAGAGGGAATCAAATACATCGGCATGAGAAACGAGCAAGCGGTGAGCATTTCGCTGTCATCACACGCGCGACAGTTTAGTCGTTGATTGATTTTTGCAAAAATTCTCCAGGTCAGTTTATCTATGAAAGAAATTTGGGTAAGATTTCCGTACAACTTCATACATTTATCATGCATGTAGCAATTTGATACTGTTTCTCACAAATAGTTAATACGAACACTCTAAATTCGAGATTGCTCCGAAACTCTCAATTTAAGAAAAAGTTTTCTTATTTTACGAGAAAAATTTAAAGCAAATCATAGGATAAGAACTCTTTTTTCTGAGAACAAAATCTTATTCTATGATTTGATTTAAATTTCGTTTCTTAAAATAAGAAATCTCGAATTTAGAGTAGAATAGAGCCTGGAGATGTTTAACTGTACCTTGCGAGTAGAGGTTTCTCTCTTGCAATGTTTTTAGGCCTGTTTTCGATATGATCGTCCTGATCACCTCAGTCATTTCAAAAAATTTCGAGATGATCCTGACGATCCTGACACGGAGAGCGAACCTTGTGCCTTGCCATCTGCTTTTTCTTTTATTTTGCGGCGTTGAGAAGCTAGAAGAAATCCACGATGACATAGTATCATGTTAAGAACTTGATGTCATGCATTAGCTTTGTCTTGCTTCAATCAAATAGCGCCCATTATATGTGTTGCGAACATTTTTGTATTATTATTTTTTTTCGATGTCAGCAGTGTCCAAACCAAATTCATTCTCAATTACTGGAATAAAAGTGATGATTTCTGGGATAGACTTTGACCGTCCCAATTGTCTCATTTGTCTGAAAGTGTTTCCATATGACCGCTTCAAAATTTTCACAGTTGTCCCGATTGTCCGGGATAGAAGTCAAGTCTATCCAAAGGATCAAGGTCATCCCAGTCATCTGGGTCATTTGTCATCACCCAGGTAGCATTTCCATATAATCGTCCGGATCGTCTGAACATTATTTGAGATGACTGGGATGATCGGGATGATCCAGATGATCATATGAAAACCAGGCTTTAGCATTTACGAAGTTGTTCAAGTGGCTTTGCCTGTCGTGTTGTTGGTTTGTTCACACCCCGTGAGAAACTTCCTGGTGTACTTTCATATATTCTCATGTAATGGCCAGCCTGATACATTCTCTGTGTTATAGGCTTGTTATGCAGCATCAGCTATTGGCTATCTGACTGGAAGGTTAGTAGGGGAAATTGTTTCAGTTGATAGGAAAGAAAGAATTTACCGTATTTGCTTGAATAATTGATTAATGGTCAAAATAAATAAACATTTTTTTTTGTATGGTGTTCAAAGCGTTCTAAAATTTGTAAATGAGGTGTTCCAAATTAGCAGTTTAGAACAAGATGTCAATTACCCTAAGTATTATAAAAAAGTTTTTAGAATCTACAGTGTACCTATATAAAACTATGGAAAAACAAATCATTGCCAGATTTTGAACTGTAAGTCAGTTAGTCTGAAATAGGGAAGTTGCTCTTTGGTTTCTGGCAAGTTTGAAAGTCGACCACAACATGGAACCAAGCTTGTTGCTGTATACCAATTACAAATTAGTTACTTGTTTGTGGCTCTAAGTTTTTACAAGTCCAGAAGCATTTTGTACTAGTCCTCCTGGACCTAGTGGACTACCCCTGAGGTTGAGCACTGTGTATGGCAAGAGCTTTTGAGCTTTACTGGCATAGATTTGCTAACCAGTTCAAAATAAAGAATTATTTCACCTCTAGATTGATACCCAGGCCCTCAACAACATCAAGAAAAGTCCTCTAAGTTATTCACGCTGTTTTGGTAATGCAGGAAGAGAGGAAGTACATAAAAAAGGAAAAAAACAAATAAAGTTTACATGTATAATATTGTAAAACCCTTCAACATTAGATGGGAGTGTACTTGGGTAAACTGAGGGAGCTGCAAACAAGCACAGAACATAACCATTACAACCCTGTGAGCAGCAACCACCACAAACCGTCACACTGAGAACCTCTGTGAAAAAATAATTGTCAATACTTACCAATGGACATAAAGAGAAAAGAAGGGAGTGGGAGCAAAAATAACTATAGCTACTGCAAAGTGAAGGCAGCAGCGAGCAAAATGATTGACCTCAGCGAAAGCACTGTAAAATTACTAGAGCACTGCAAATTCCAAAGACTACCTTATAAACGATTAGTGATAGAGACCTCTGGCCTGCATGGTCTTGTGACTATAACTTCAACTACATTTAGCTATAGACTATCTAAATGTCGTCTATTTTTTTTCCTGCTTGGTTATGCCATTTTAAAGGACTGACTTTTTCATACCTGTTTGGTGCTAAATTCACTGGTTGAAAATTCTATCGGTGACGGCATGACAATTGACCAATAGGACAGTGAGTGATATTTTCATGCAGCTCGATCCTGACGCAGTATAATTACTAGGGTTAAAGTTTTAAGGTTTAAGGGCTTGTTTATAGAGGAAAGTGCACTTAGCTTATCCAGAGCTCTAGTTTTACAGGCACTCCACTCAAATACTTAGATACAAATAATTCAGTAAAAACCCTAACTGGCAGGAGGCAACCAGTTGGCTATTTACAAGCGTGGCCGAGGATTTGAAATCAAGGTGGCCAAGTGGCCAGAGCTGGACTTGAACCCAGAACCTCTGGATTACAAGTCCGACATGCAGACCACTTGGACACGCTGCCAATATGCATATGTCAATCATTTTTTTCCTGTGTGAATTTATAATATGATTCAAATCCATTAATGCCAAACAAGTTGACCTTGAGAATTCGTCGCTCGCTTAGTCACTGCGTGACCTCACGCAATGAAGCTCGCTTTGCTCACTTTTAAGAATGTATGAGAGTTCAACTAGTGGCAAGTCTAATTTAGCCACATCTTAGAAGTATATGGGCTATCTCAATTGACTACCCAGTTTATTTATTGTAAATGTGGATTTCTTGTAGGCCTGGTGTTTGCTTGGTGGTTTCTGGACCAGGTTTATTACATGCTCTTGGAGGAATGGCAAATGCAATGAGTAACTGCTGGTAAGCCTGTCTGTTATATAACTAAAGTAGATGTAAGAATAATATATTTTGATATTGTACCATTTAGAATGTAAAATTGTAAGTTTTACCTCAGGCTTATATCATCAGTACGAGTATTATTTTGTTAGCAACACTTACCTGCAGTGAACCCTCAAGACCTAAATATATATTCCTTTTGATGTTCATGCATGTGCAGGGTTGTCATTAAGAGCCGGGGGCCGGGGATTTTCTCCGGCTACTACGAGAGTGGCCCCCGGCTACTTTTATTGGAAAATAGAAGAAAAATAGAACCAAAAGAAATCCCTAGCCGTTTGATTCCCCGCCTACTTGTTTTATTTACCCGGCAACTTGAAATCTTAGTGACAACCCTGCATGTGTACACTTTTAGAAGCTTTAGCTGGTGGGAAGGCTTGTGTATTTCAATTTATTATTTATTCAAAATATTATTTCACCATTTCTGATTGGCCTTAGTCTCCTGGATAATTCTTTATAACTAGCTAGCACTGATGAAATTGGAAGATGTGAGTGATATGGGCGCTTTCCATTTAGTCAAAATTTCCGGAATTTCCGGTTCGGCAGTAAATGGAACACGTTTCGTCAGTTCATCCCACTGGAAAATTCCCAGAAAAAGTGGAAAATCTAAAAAGGTGGGCTTGTTTTCCCGGTTGGAATTTCCGAACGGAGTGTCGTGTTCCATTTATGTTTCTCGTAGTTTGTACCAGTTCCAGGTCCACTGTCGGGCACCGCGACGTACCGGGGTTTACGACCAAATGGAACAACTTTTTACCAATCGGAAATTCCACTTTTGCTCCCACCAAAATTTCCGGGTTTTTTTCCTAAATGGAAAGCGCCCATACCTACCACTGATACCATGATGTATTGCCTCAACACACAATCACAACTTTGTTTCGTGGAAGTAGCATGGCACCCTTGAGTTCACGGTGATCCAAACACAAGGCCGAATTTCTGACTATAAAACTGAATGGAGGAAATGCAAAAATAACCCAAAAATGTTTCTTGGTAAATGTCATCTACTTTTTGAGGAGTATTGTTTCTGATGATGTTCTGAAGAAAAATATGAGAAGGATGTATTAAGTTTGTTTAACTTAGAAATATTTTGAATTAATAATAAAACAAATTATTTAATTTATTAGGCTTATGTACAATGTATGATATCAAGAATTTTGCAGATTTCAGAGGCTGTTAAGGCCTCGGTGGACCACACCCTCCTCAATCTGTATAATTCTTCACATAGAGAGGCTTCGCACTCACCTTTAAAGTCCTTGAATTTTCCAAAAAAAATTCAAGGCCTCGAAATTCTTTGAAAATTGCAATCGGTTCTGAAAAGTCCCTGAATTTTGGTGCTAACTTTATTTATCCAACCCAAAGGAAAAGGAACAAACACAGAAAGACCTTCAGGATAAAATTGGCTATGTTGTGGTAGAACTCAAGGTCTTTTTTGCACTGAATGGAGTCCTTGAAAAATGGAAGATGTGTCCTTGAAAGTCCTTGAAAAGTCCTTGGGTACGAACCATGCATAGACATTTGCACATTTCAAATTAATATCATTAAATTTTTATTATTATTAAATGTGAATAGCAATAGTTAAGTCTTAGTACATTATTGCACTTCTTTGTCTGTGTGTCTGTTTCTTTAGGCCAGTTCTAGTAATTGGTGGTTCATGTGATGTGGATCAAGAAAGTATGGGTGCTTTTCAAGAATTTCCACAAGTAAGTAGTGGCTCGTTTAATAAGTAGAAGAACTGTTTTTCGTTGTTGTGTTTCCTTGGTAAGGTCTTTCTGGAAATAGTAAAATCCCGTATATTCCAGGTTACTTTTGACCATCTTTATTTTTTGCACAATACAATGTGTGAAAATTACAGTTAATTATTTTTTCATCATCTTGTTGTCCCTTTTTGCCTTGTTTTGCAGGTTGAAGCAGCAAGACTTTACACTAAGTACTCTGCACGACCAGGAAGCGTAGGGCAAATACCCTTCTTTCTTGAAAAGGTACTGCATATTTTTGATACGTACCTGTATTTACATTTAATATTATTTTCATAAGCTGATACAATCTACAGTTTGAAAATCCTCCCACATGTTAGTTATAGTTTTGGTGCAAGGAAAGTCTGTGATGGTCACTAAGATCAATTAATATTTTGATACAGAGGCCTTCTTAGGTGGGGGTTTTGCGTATTGAATGAAGAAGAGGTCATGTCACTGTCACTCTTTCACTATTGTATTTGTGATTTTACTCGTCGTTCTCACAGTTTCAACCCATCTTCATGTCATTTGTGGCCATTTCATCAAGAATCTTAATTATGTCACCATTTAAAGGCCATGTTGCTTGTCAGGACTTTACTCTAACAGGGCATCAATACACACATGTACATATAATGTCTCTCTAGGTTAAGAACATTGTTATATTTAATCAATATCAATATTTTGGTCTAGGTGTTATTAATCAGTGAATTAGTCCAATGAATTTGTCTGTATGTGGAAAGAAACTAAATTGTATAATTGAAGTGTTATTGTTACAATTTTAAAATGATTTAAGTATATTTACCATGTTTAGTTTTAAAAGATCCTTACTAGAAACTCCTTTTATATGCCAAAAATAATGGTTATTAATAAATTCTTAAAGTTAAAGAAGGGATTTAATCCTTGTAAAAATATGAACAAGCTTAAGTGTATAAATAGTTACCATGATCATGTTGATTTTTTAGTCATATCTTTAAAATAAAATAATCTTTAAAATAAAATAATCTTTTTTTTACGTATAGGCGGTACGAACAAGTATGTATGGGAGACCTGGTGCTTGTTATCTGGACCTGCCAGGAAATATGATTACTGAAACCATTGCAGCTTGTAAGGCAAGGTGACTGTTCATAAAAGCTAGCCTGCGTAGCAAGCGTTTCTGTACGGTTTAGGAGAAAAGAACGAGGAACGAGAGTCAAAGACAGCGAAAAAAGTGGCTCAAGTAAAAGAGCGGGGAGAGGGCGGGGAAGAAAGGAAGGAAACGCTTGCAGACAAACCCCGGGATTTTGAAAACCACCCACTTGGTCTGGCACGCCTGAGTTTGCGAACCGACATTTGATGCTGTCATCAATTGTCATAATTGACCAATAAAATGTCTGGCCTTCCGTGAAGCGGAAACAAACTTTAGAGGACTCGTTTGTGAAATCATTATAATTTTTTTTTTTGTATTTTGGAGCGCATGGACGGCGTTGATGGTTAAATGTCAATGAATCCGAACGATCAATGCAGGCTTTGTACATTTGTCTTCTTAATCCGTCTAAAAGGAAGGACCGCGAGGGTGAATGAAGATTTAAAGTTTTAGCTCTAAACCTCCAGAAAGTTGGATTTGAAGTGGTAAAATGTGACAAGCATTCAAGTCTAGATCAGCTAGACAGAACGCCTTACCATTCTCGCCACGGCACAGACAACTAGAGTGCTCTTGTAAAAGCATCCTAGAGCAAAGCTAACCCGGCAACTGATGAAGTTCGCGTAGAGAACAAAGCAGAACTGAGTCACAATGCAGGTCTTCCTAGTTGATGTAGCTTCAGTTTAAGGTGCAATCCATTCTTCAAAATTTTTATCTGTAAATCACTATCCGAGAGAATTTAACATCCCGCAAAAAAAAAACAAACAAACAAACACTAACAAGCTGCGCCCGGCATAACAAAACATTGCAGGAAACCATCGCATTCCCTGACTACAGGTTACCTGACAAAAGAAAATCGCTTTTAGTTAAATTCAGATCCAGGAGACAAATAAAACGACCTGAAACCCTTATTAATTCGCAAGAAGAGCTTTGTGTTTCAAAAGAAGTTAAATAAAATGCTCTTGCATTGGAGGGAAAATCTTGCCGACCAGAATAAACAATACCACAGAAAATTAATATGCGTGTCACGTACCAAACGTGACCTCTCAGTATGAAACAAACCTTTGATCGACACATGGCAGCATTGTTCGACTAGCCAAGCCAATCAGGCGCTGCGTTCGCTGGCGAACGCAGGTTTTCAAAATCGAGGGGTTTGTCTGCAAGCGTTTCCTTCCTTCCCCTCCCCCTCCCCCCTCTTTCACTTTTTGGCTCTCGTTTCATTTCTCGCGCAGTCAAAACCGAAAGTCCCCTTCCTCGGTATTTCTTTGCTCTGAAACCAAACGGAAACGCTTGCTACGCAGGCTATTCATAAAAGCTGAATACATAATAAGTTCATAATATTTAAAAATATTCCAACAAGTGTACTAGTGTTGTCTCTGCCAATGTTTGCTACTACATTATTTTGCTCCAACTGTTTGGTATTATCAAAAGTCATTTTCCCTTGTACTGTATGAAAGAGGATAATGGGGTTTCAATTGATTCAATGTCATTTCTTTACATGAGGTCAATTTTTTCCACAGATCAATTTCTCGATGTCCAGCCCCACCCAAGTCTTTGGCTGATCCATCTGAAGTGGAAAAAGCAGTTAAGATTCTTACTGAAGCTAAAAAGCCTCTTGTAATAATTGGCAAAGGTAATGAAACACTCCAAACTAAGACAGTATAACTTATTTTTAGCTTCATGGTTGTTGTACTGATACAGTAACTTGACTATGAAAGATACCCAGAAATGACCAAGAAATTGGTTTGAAAGTTTATGTGGAAACTTCAATTTTGAGTGGAATGTTAAAGTGCAATCATTATCATCTCGTTAATCATTGTAAAACTTGTTTTAGTAATAGCACTCTGTTGGATGTCGATTTTGTTTCCTAAATATTATTATGAATATTTAGCAATTAATGAATGAGGCCGAGTAGGATATCAAGAATTAAGCAGATTGAGGAGGGTGTGGTCGAGGTGGATAACACCCTCCGAGATCTGCTTAATTCTTCATATCCTACAAAAGCCGAATTCCTTAATTGCTTTATTATTCATTCTTAAAAACATAGCTAAAACATGCTTACCTGCATCGATGTTAAGTTCAGCTTCGACAGTGTATGTTTAGGTTTGTCCAGCTCCTCAAATATTCTCCAAATAGCAGATGTCGCCCTACGAGTTGTCTTCTTGCTGTTTTTGCTATGTTTTTAGCTATTATTTCACCTAGTTCCAGCTGTAGTTTTTACTCTTGAATCAAGTGAAGTGTCCGCCATTTTTGCTTTCACAACCAAAACAACTCAACCTTGTCCCCAGGTCTTCTCGGTTAACGGTGCATCAACCTGTAGCGGGCTGCATTTTTGACATCATTTCCTCATTAAACACAAAATTCTTCCAAATTTGGTCATCAGTAACTGGTTATGGTGAATTGTGTGTGTGTGGTCATTCGGACACTCAAAGTTATATACTACTCTCATCTTATAGTAAGTTATTATTTAAAATCACATTTTGCCTGTTCACACCCAGTTATCAATGGCAGTGAATGTTTTACCTCCATTTTTTCAAAACCCCTTTTTGTTGCTGTTCTTGTGCTAAAATTAGGTGCAGCATATGGGCATGCAGAGAAACCCCTTCTGGAATTTGTTGAGAGGTGCAAGCTACCTTTTCTACCAACACCCATGGGAAAAGGTGTCATTTCTGATGAACATCCATTGAGTGTTGCAGCCGCCAGATCAAGGTCAGTGAAGCTTTGTAGTGTCAGATGTATGCATGCTTCACCCATGTAAGCCTTAGTTGTGAGTCATATGGTGGACAATAAATCAACAAAACGTTTTTATAGTTAATGAAACAGTTAATCAAGCAATCAATATTTTAATCAAGAGTAAAATACTTTGTTAATTCAAAATAGCAATATAAAAAAAAGCCAGTAGAATGGCAACATAATAATGGGGTAAGCCTGGGATGGACAAACACTCTCTCCATTGGGTTATAATTAGCAAGGAATAACCCTACTTTGGGTACCTTGTACTACTCAGACACCACTACGCAGGTGGTGGGTTTTCTGCAGTTGCTGTCAGTGTCTTGTGGCCTATGTATGCCTAGCCTGGGTGGTAGGTGTTAAAAGGGGAAGGGAATGAGAGAATTTGAGCATGTGAGAGTGCAAAGTGCACGCAACGAGTGGAGACATTTTCCCCCTCTATGTGCACTCTTTGCTACTTCCTTCCCCCTTTCACTTTCCACATAGGCTAATTAAAAGGTATTCCTTGATGATGATGGTGATGGTTATGATGATGATGAAAGAAATATTCGTCTTTATTAGGGCATTGTCACAAACTGATCTAATTTTCCTGTTTGGAGCAAGATTAAACTGGATTCTTCATTTTGGAAAACCTCCAAGGTTCAAAGCTGATGTTAAGATTGTTCAGGTACTTTTACAGACACAGTTGAACCTCCTGCTATCCCAAGTATCAATTTCAAATTCTTCTCTTTCATTCCCAGACATTTTTTGCATGTTTTTTTTTTTTGCGAAGTGCATTTTTAGTCAAAAAGGACAAATGAAACAAAGCAAGGAGAGGGCATAAGAGAGAGAAGTGGAACTCCTCATACGAAAGGATCAGGGAGCTTAAGCAATGACGATGGCGACGGTGACGAGAACGGCAAAAATATAATAGGTTTGATGAGCAAAACAACTTTGCACGTGCGGAATGCTTTATTGTACATTTCTTTGCTGTCACTGCACGACTACAATGTGGAAATGCCTAATTTCACATTTTATGGAGAACGTAAACAAGCGACGATGAATTTTTCTTTCTCTTTCTTAACTAATGAGTCCAGTCCCCAAGAAATCAACTCCAGGGAAATTTGCCTACATTTCACATTTTCAGTGAATTGGAATAAATGCGATAAAGTTTGAAAAAACATGAATTCATTTTAAAAGTGACGTTTTTGCTGCCGTCGCCGTTTTGGATGCTAAAGCTCCCTTCTAAATGAGCAGCTGGTCACTCAACCAGCTCCTAATCCTGCCTGGCATGGCTTAACTTAAGTTTCACACTGAAGGGTTTGCACAACATATTTGTTGTTAAAACTTATAATAAGTCAAGATGGTCTGGGTAACTTTAAATGATACGTAACATGGGCATGATGTCATGTTTCCAAAGGGTCACCATGGCGGATTTGTAATATTTGGTTTCCATCATGCTAGGAAGAGTACTAAGAATTGTAAAATTTGAACATTATTCATTAAAATAAAAAATGTTCTAAATTTTAATATTTCTCTTCAGTTTGTTTGAAATTATCATGCTGATATTTGGTGGGAATTTGTCAAAGTACCTCCTTCCCCTCGGCTCCCCATCTTCTGTGAGAGTTTCATATTGTACAGGTTTTTCTTGAGCCAACTTTAAACAAATTTGACTAGACTTGACTATCACTAAGAATTCTAAGTAAAACAATTTATAGGTATTTTTTCTTTTGCAGATTGATCTCCATGCAGAGGAGATGGGGAATAATATTCCTGCTGAGGTCACCCTGTTGGGAGATGTTAAAAGTGTCACAGAACAGGTGCAATAATTTAATTGCATTAAAAATAATTACAAGCTTTATTTTACTGGTTTTACTCTTCTCTTGAACAGGATACCATGAGCTAATTTTCTATGGGTTTTTGGTAAATCGTTTTGCTCAACTACTAATTTCTCTGTTTATTAAAACCTTCTTTGACAACCTATATGTACTGTGATGTCAATAAATGCATAGTGAAATAGGTAGGTAGGTAGCAACTTTATTTAATGAGAGTAACACATGACAGTTAACACTGATGAACTAGTGGCCCTCAAACGTAATTAAAATATTTACAACTAATAAAAAAAGACACGACGAATTAAAATATAAAAATACTAGAACAAGATACAATCCTAAATTATGATATTAAAAACTATTAAAACAAACACAGCAAATTTAAAAATACAGTTCTTCTGATATTTTGCGCAGTCGCGGAGCCGCGAAATTCACAAAAACACGAAAAATCCCGCCAAATTCGGTAGAAATCTTATCAAATACATGTCTGTACAACATATTTGAAACTTATTTCAGCTATAGGGGCTATTTACTTCCCGTAAACTTGCAAATTTATCTTGGAACTTCGTCACTGAAACATGCAAACAATGTCCCAAATCTATCAGGCGTAGATTATGTTGCGAAAAACAAATAGCAAATAGCAGATGAAAGTTGTCAATGGGAGCAGTCACGATATATAGTTTGTTTATTTCCTGAAGATAAAAAAAAATTATTTGGTGATGCATAATGTGCAGAACATGTTTTTCTGGTTTCACATTATTATTGCTCATCTGTGGGGATATCTACAGTTGTTATTTGCACCTGCTTGACATGCGGAGTCGGAGGTCACGGGATCGATTTACGGGACTGGACCAACACTCAGGGTCTTAAAATGACTGAGAAATAAAGGGACTGTCTTTGCCCTGCAAATGGCTAGACCTTAGTGTGGTGCAGATGACCACATAAACGGGCTAGCTGTCCTGTCTAGGAGACGTAAGAATAGTGTTCCCAATTAGTACTTTCATACTAAATACATTGACACTCAAATAAAGTGTATTTTTATAGATAATGGTATACTCACCAATAAACAAAATTATTAACCAAGCTTGAGGTCAATAAAGGATTTATTGTACGGCCAAAGAGGGACTCTTACTTGTGTAACCAACCTGAGAAATCCTGAATGGGCAAGATGATGATCTGTATTATTGTTTACTAGTTGAACTCAACAGTGATCAGAGCCTATGGGAAGACTCCAAGTAATCTGTGTGTCACAGCTTCATGGAGAAAAGAGTTGCTGGAAAAATCAGAAGCCAATAAGAAAAGAAATGAGGTAAATAGTGTGTTGTTTTTAGCACACTTTGTTCACAGTGGATAATGAGTCAAAGTCACTTCTTTAACCTTTTCACTGCCAGAGTGCTTGGTGGAGTTTGGTAAGATGACGCTAACTTTTGAGTCTGTGGACGAAATCCTCTGATGTGACCATTCAAATGAAAGCTCTCTGCCTGTACTGTCGCATTTTGCTATTTATTTTGCAAAATGTTACAAAATGAAATTTGCAAACTTGGTCAAAATTTGCCTTTGGCTACATTTGGCAGTGAAAGGGTTAAAGTTCTGCTTTTAAATGGCCTGAAGTGTTTAGTCAGGTTTTAAGAATGAAAGCATTACTAAAAACAATGTAAAATAAACATTTGAAACCTGCAAACTGTATAAGATAGCAAATTACAAGAAACTGCATTTTTGTGGCACAGAAAATTTCAAGCTTTTGAATGACGCCAATGCTAATATAGTGGCTTAACCCTTTAAGCCCTAAGAGTGATCAGCATCAAATTTCTCATTGTAATAGCAATGCTTTGTAAAACAGAGTGGTCATGAGAATTACAGACATGATCACACAAGATAAATTTGCTTGATATTTTATCAACTTCTCCCCACTAGTTCTGTAGGAACTGAATAGGGGCAACAAATGAGAATTCAAATTCTGATCTTAGGGTTTAAAGAGTTAACTGGAAGTAGTGAAATATGGAAATTTGAAAGAAATGATAATTTTTATTTGTTTATAGTAACTATTTTATGCTTCCAGGAACTTGCCAATGAATCAACAGTTCCAATGAATTATTATCAAGTTTATGGACAGGTTAGAGACACAGTCACACTGAATGATGCTCCACCAGCTTTCTGAGTAGACTACAAGTAGTCCCCATTTTTCCTCAGGGACAGTAGAGCAAGTACCTATCTCACGTGGGGTGATTTTCATGCGTGCTCGTGTTCTGCTCGCTCTAATATACCTGAAGAAAAATGGGGACCACTTGTAAAATACTTCTGAGCCACAACTTAACTGTATGACGAGAGGTGGAAAAACGTTGCATAAATGGCACAATCAGCTAACAGGGTGCCGGTCTGGATTGCTACCAGAGAAATGTCCAGACAAGGCATTTATCTGCAGGTGTCTTGTCTTGTCTTATTTCTTGTTTGTTTTTGTTTGGAATTTTGTATAAAGGTTGACATGGGTTTTTCTGTCAGGGGCACCCAACAACAATTTTCGGAAAATAACTGTTCGGAAGACGATTTGAGATCTAGAATTTTCGGAACATTTGTTGTAAAATTTTTTGCTTGCCTGCCTCTCCTAGGATTTTCGAACATCTAAAAACTACTATAATTGCCCATTTTAAACGGATTTTTACCCTTAAAAGGTCACCTAGAATTTTCGGAAGCCTTTTTTTGGGCTGAAATTTTCGAAAAGGTAAGTTCTGATCCCTATAATTTTCGGATCACTAGACTTTCAGCTAGGAAATCCGAACAGATGAAAAATTTTTAGGGGATAAAAATATGCCTATAGCTACCGTTTAAATATTAAAATACATTTAACAATGCTATGTTTAAGTGGTTTTGAACTATATTCTCGTTGGGTGCCCCTGTTCTGTCAGTCTACAGGTATAATTCAGGTCTGCCAACAGTTGCTCAATGGGTGGATAAATATCCACTGCCAACAGTTGCTCAATGGGTGGATAAATATCCACCAGAAAAATCACTGTACATTGGATAGTGCAATAGGTTTCCCTAACACTTGTCCAGTGGATTGTGGATTACACTATCCCTCTATTGAACAACTGGTCTTCTACCATGATACCCTCCCCCCTCAAGGTATTTTCCCAAAGGACAGTATACTCCCTACCAGCAGTAAGCTGAAGGCTTGTGCTTGACAATCTTTTGTACTTTGCCAGCTTAAAAAGCATTTACCACATGACTGTATAATAGTTAATGAAGGTGCCAACACTATGGACATTGGACGGACAATGATGCCAAATCAACTTCCCAGGAAAAGGTCTGCTTAGCTGTGTATTTGTACAGTTTCATTATTGTTGACAACTGTTTTAATTGGATAGAAGAAAGGAGTACACACAATAAACTTGTCCATTGTACCTTTGTCTGTAATAATAATAATAATAATAATAATAATGATGATTATTATAAAGAAAGTCGAGGGTCTCTTATATGAGTCAATTCGTAGAAATATGGACCCTTAGATTGTTCCATGAAAAGGAGCACGTGTTCACATGCATTCATTTGATTTGCAAGGCAAATCTGTCGAACTCAAACTCAATTTTGTATCCACACTCTGATCTACATGTAAATATCTCTATTTTTATGCGTCTTACCCTCACTATTTTTGCTTGGTATTCTTTTTGCCCATTCATTTCTTTAACTAGCAAAGTTTAGTGGCAAGTTTTTTTAGAAATTTGTGTTTGGCTGACCTAAGTTCTAAAATTGTGCCCCTTTCAGAACTGCCATTGGTTAAGTGGTACCGTCACGCGTAACTTGAAATGGTGTGTTCTATGATAGTTGAGCTTAAGAAAACAGCTGACATTTTGCGATGGCATCGCTAGTTTCCCCACAAAATGACGTCCGAGGAAACATCGCAGAAAGTCCATGCTGATGACGTGTCACTACCCAGATCTGGGTAGTGCTTCTTATTGGTTTAAAATTTGTTTCATTCAATCGGATGCATGACTACCGAGAGCTTGGTAGTGACATGTGATCAGTATGGAATTTCTGTGCTTGTTTCTCAGATGTCATTTCCCAAGAAACCTTGTGGTGGCATCACAAAGTGTCTGCTGTTTTCTCAATTAATGATAACCGCACCGCGTGTAGTGTGTTTTGAAGTATTTCTTTATACTCTTTGCAAATGACATGGAAAGGGAATGACAATAGCCCATTTTCGCGTCACACTTAGCTTTTTCTTTCATGTTGGACCTTTTTAGATTAGATGCAGGCACATTTGGTACAATGGGAGTCGGAATTGGGTTTGCTATTGCTGCAGCCCTGCTAGCTGAAAGCCAAACAGATGCTTCACGTACCCCCAGGAGGGTTGTGTGTGTACAAGGTGACAGTGCATTTGGATTTTCAGGAATGGAACTTGAAACTGCATGCAGGTGCTTATCATAGTTTTGATTTAAGAATTTAATGAAATTCACGGACAGATTTAGGGGTGGGGTCCCTATAGCCCTGCCTTATTTTTAAGGTAAACCGCGGCCTGCAGGACCAAGAAAAATTATTTTCGAGGCTGGGCCATGATATTATCTTAGGGACTGAATGAGAGGATCCCCCACTAACTTAAAAATCAGAAATTCATGTGTCTGAGATAAACACTTTTCGCGCCAATTTGTTATCCTTAGCATTTATTTTCGTGCTAGTCAGCAATAGGGAGGAGTTATGTTCGGGTAGCTAAAGCTACATTGACAAAAAACGATGATGATGATGATGATGATGATGAGTATTTAAAGTGTAGCCACTGTACTGAGAAAAAAATGCCATCAGTAGAAATCTTAGCAAGTTTGTACTACTCCTGAAAACGTCTTTCATGAAAGTTTCTTGTTCCTTCTTTTTTTAAAAAATGTCCTGGAATAATATTGACTTAGTTTATTGGTATAAATATGTCACAAGTAGAGAAATATGTCACAGGTAGAGAAAGAGAGGCTGTTGAAATTTTGGGGTATTTTATTGCAGGTACAATCTACCAATAGTGTTTGTGATTGTGAACAACAATGGTATTTACAGTGGTGTGGATGAGAAGAGCTGGAGCGAATGTGAAGTGGATCCAGCGAGAGGGTAAGTCCAAAAACTGAACATAAAATTGATTAACCCCTTCACTCTTAATAGTGCCCCCCTCCCAAAAAAAAATTTGTTTCTTAAAATCCCGAGTTGTACGGTGAACGGTATATTAATTTCAAGAAGTTTGAGAGGGAAGGGGTGGGGCTTATTTGATTAAGCGAAGATGATGGTATCCATTCTCCATAAAAACCTAAAGTACAGTGGAAAAGTTGAGTTACATGACTTACTGAGAAGTAAACAAACGGTCCAGCGCTAAAAGGTCTATTAAATACCTTTCAACGCTGGACCGTAAAACTTCACACGTTTTTCTTTGCTTTATATTCTGTAGGGCTCCACCCACTGCCCTGAGACCAAATACTCATTATGAGCGAATCATTGAGGCATTTGGAGGAAGAGGTTACTTTGCAGAAACACCAGAAGAACTCAATACAGCGCTAACATTTGCCTTTGAGGAGACAAAGAAAGTCAAGAAGCCAGTGTTGATTAATGTCATGATCAGCCCCTATGCTGATAGGAAACCCCAGGTACATGAGCGCTAACTGCACAGGAGAGGTGTCATAGGCGGGTGGGGCAGGGCGGGAAGGGGGGGAGTGACGTAGGGGAACATATAAATTTGGTTTTTAGCTTGAACATCAGGGCTTCCTTAGGGGTTATAGTCTGCGAGCAAGCTCTCCATTTGGGCGAGCGAAGCGAACCACGCGAGTGCGATACGCGCGAGCGAACAACGAAGCCGCGAGAGGCTATCTCTCCCCCGTTCTCCTTTGTCGCGTCTCTCCTCGCGTGCCACTCGCGCGTGTGCTTTTTACGATATCCCCCAAATGGAGAGCTTACTCGCAGGCTATAGGGGTTAAGGGAGAGGGGACTAGATAGTGCGGAGGGGTGTGGGGAGGGGGGGGGGGTAGGTAGGCTCTCTCCTCTTCTCACCTCTCTCTTGATACTCGGGCTAGTTGGTTTTATCAGCCTAGAATGTATCCTTTTTTATCTTTACAAAATCCAATAGCAAATTCTTGATTCAAAAACACGTTTTTTTCCCAAAACTCCTCTTTAGATCCCTTTTATGAACCGAAATCATCCACAAATCAAACGGACTTGGTAGGATTTTCATGAGTCGTGTGTTTCTTTGGGCGTGAAGTTGCAAGTATTTTCCTGTGATAGTACGAGGCCTAGCAGCTTCCCACCGGCGCTATCCATGTTAAGGGCGCTTTCCAAAAGTCAGAACTGGCCAGCCGGACCATGGTCAGAACAATCATTTTGACAAAGCATTTTAAGGCTTTTTCCAAGGGTTTTTGCGGAGAAGCCATCTCCCTCCAGCCTCGTTCCCAGGGTTCTCTGCTACCCGTCCCTGGGAACGAGGTTGATCTCCTTCGTGCATACTATGTAGTATTTGACTAATGTGGCTGGACAGTTTTGATTAAAAGTGAAATAGTCATGACGACGGAAATGGTCTGGCCAGTCAGTTTTTTATGCCGGTGTGCCGCCCGGGACGAGACGCTCGTGAAAGGGATGTACTTTGTCCTGTATCAGTTTTGGGCAATCTTGTGTCGTGGCTGTTCACATTATACTAGATTATACCAATTTCTGCACTGGCGCATAAACTGATCCACTTTGCTGTGAATGTAACTTGAGATTAGAGAATTAATTAATGTATTTTCTTGTCTTTTTTCAATTTTCAGGAATTTTTCTGGCTTACTCGCTCAAAGATGTGAGCTTTTAAATATAGGAAGGCTTCTTACGATTTACTTGGACAAAAGGCCTATGGAAACCATGAAAACATAGCTTCGCGTATACGCGTCAGAAGAAAAGGAATGATTCTTACTTCAACATGTCTACCGTTGGAGAGTACTCCTTGGAATTCTTGGGGGGGTGTGCCGCCCAGTTCTGAAATCCTGACCCTATTTGAGACAAAAAATGTCCTTTTCCAACCGGTTAAGTTTAAAAAATAAACATTTCCTACACGTAAATTGACTGGCCCGCCACAGAAGATTAGCTCTAGTCACCTGCGGGCCAGTGCACTTTTTGTAATATTCAATGATTTAGAAAATAAAGACTATTGAGAAAATAAACTTTTCCCGAAGCTAGTGCATAATTTCATAGCTATTTTTCATTCGCCGAACTGCCGTGGATCGCAGTAGCGCAATCGGCTAATCCCTCAACTTAGAGTCTCCCCTGATCTGACGGGTGACACAGGTGAGCCGGTTCAAACCCCGGGAAAGCCAAAATAATGATTCTTTCTTCCGCGAATATGTCAAAGAATAAATCAAAGAAATCGAAGTGATCTCGAGATATCTCGAACTTTTAGATGTCTCTAACTATCTCGACTTTCACTTCGTCAAATAGCCGAATAAAACCTAGCCTGCCACGCAGGGAGGCTAAATAAAACCGAAAACCAACAGACTGTGCGTGTCCAATCTTGTTCCAAAAATGTCAACTTTGATACATTCCTTCGCGTCGCGAGTCCTTTACTTTGCGCTCCGCCGAAGTGATTACCCTGTGAACGTACAGGCTGTACAGAGAGCCTGTTCACAGTCTAGACCAAAATGGACGAAGTTTTTCCCGTTTTCAGACCGAAACGGCCCCAAAACCATACCTTTTGGAGCTGCACATACCTATATGACTTTTGTAAGGGAGTACCCCCCGGAATGCCCTCAATCCAATTGTGTTTCATTCCCAGTGGGCGACTCCAATATAAAAGTGGCAGGGGGTGCTCGTCGGAAAATTAAAATAACCCCACAAGGAGTTCAATGTGGGTGTGGCTCCTGATCAAACTGGAAATGCATCACTTTGCTTCATTCAGCTCCGCAAAAAATGTTCTTGTAAAATTCTATTTCGTGAATTACATTTTTATTGGCTGACGTTCTCGATGTCTATCAGCTCATGAAAGTCATGGAAAGAGACAGAGTGCAGAAAAGCCGGGCGTATACCACCGTCATCCTGCAACACAGTTAACCTGAGATCAGGGTGTATTTTCATTTCACTTTGTTTAAAAACATTCGGGCGGGTAAGGCAAAACGAAAAGCGGGACTACGTAAGAACAAGAGCCTCCCATTAGGGCCATTTATACGAGGAAAAATAAGACGCGTCTTACATAAGACGCGAACTGTACCATTTACCATTTATACGAGCCTGTCTTATCTAAGACGAGAACAGCTCGTATAAATGGTTCGCGTCTTATTTCTGTTCTTGACTCGTTTTCATGTGCCGTTTATACGGAAAGTTCGCGTCTTATGTAAGACGCGTCTTATTTTTCCTCGTATAAATGGCCCTATTATGGCTCTTGGTAAGAGATAATGTATGAGAACTGGCAAATCGAACAATGCCTTCTCCATATTAGGGTTTTTTCTTTGTCGGGAAATTATTTACATGGGCAAACCGGTCGGTTCACGGCTTGGTTAAATGGTTCACAAAGTTGAGGACTGGAAAATTTCGTCCCGGAATTCGCGATCATCGTTTTCAAAAAATAATCTTTGTCAATGACTAAATAGGTAAAAAATGCCCCAGAAACCGTACTACGAATACCAAACATTCAAGCTTTGAGCTGAAAATGGGTTACATCTCAAACTAAGGCACAGAAAAGCTCGAAAGATGAATTAATCCGGGAGATATGGTGACCCGTACGGGAGACCTGGAGATTGGTGTAGTAGTCTATCCAGGAGAGTTGGCATGTGTGCGAGAACTTATGACAACATGATGGGCTCCTGATGACAAACAATATGAGAGGTCGACTTGTAGCAAGTCTACACGAATGCTTTATATTAAAGAAGCCAATTGTTGAAACAAAATTTCGTAAATAGAAAGATTTTGCAAAGAAAAAAAAACAGTGGCTCGCAAAAAGAGGCTCGAGGCTCGCAAAAAATGGCAGAAATCCCCGGCCGGTCTTTTTTTTGTTTTTTTGTTTTTTTGATCTTGGTTTGAGCCCGCGGAACAGCAGACTGCGGCAGCATTTCCTTTGTTGTTTTCTAAAAAACTTGACCCTGCTTCGCTACACTTTATTCACACTTCAACGAATGCTATTTTTGTGAATTGTCTGGAAAAGAACGCACATAATTAAAAAAAATGTCTGACAATGATACATGGAAGATGGAAATCAACGGAAAAATAAGCGATCTATTGGAATGTTTTGAACGACGCGAGAAAGAGCTCACGCAATTCAGCGACACACTGGAAAAGGATCGCAAAGCGATTGAAGAAGAAATGAGGAAGAAACGGCAAGAACATGAAACATTTATTAAAGAACAGTACAGGGAACTCGACGAAACGAGGCTAAGGATAGAAAACGAGAAGAAGCGAATGCAAGAAGTTCAAGAGTTTCAGTCCTCGCCCATTCACCTCAACATTGGAGGCCATAGATTCACAACCTCTCTTCAAACTTTGAGGCGTGATATCGACTCCATGTTGGCGACAATGTTTTCTGGAAGGCACAAACTCACCCAAGAACCCGATGGTAGTTACTTCGTGGACAGGGACGGCACCCATTTTCGCCATATTTTGAACTATCTGCGCGACGGATTTCGAGCTGAAATGCTTCCGCAAGATGAACTGTCTCTCAGACAAATAGCCAATGAAGCGCATTATTTCCAACTGACTGACCTGGTAGCTGGCATTGAGAGTATATTGGACCCCCCTCCACCAGCGCCTGACTTCACCCAAAGCGAGATCGATGACATGCTTGCTACCCTGACTCGTCAGACAAGCCAGATTCACACCCCTCCGGGGTTAGATTTGGGAATGGGCATGAGGCATAGTTCTGCAGATTTCGTCTTTCACAACATGACCAAAACCAATCTGGATTTCAGTGGCAAAAATCTCTCTGGGCTCTCCTTTGCCCACACTACTTTTGCTCACAATGTTTCTTTTGTGGATGCTTCTTTGATAAACACTAGTTTCTATGGCTGCGAGTTTGCCAGCCACGTGGTGGTAGATTTCACGGATGCGGACATCTCTGGTGCTGATTTTAGACAGTGTCGCTGCGTGCAGAGTGGCCCAAATGCTTTCAATAGCCTGGGTGGTGTCCCAGTTGGCAGTGGCGGGGGTTTTATGTTTGGTTCAAGTTGTTCAAGCTTTGCTCATCTAATCAAGACTGGACATGTAAAATTCACCGGTTCCAAGCACATTGGCACAAAGTTTGAACCACATATTCTTGAGTTAATTCATTTTTGAGGCCTAATTTATATTTCATACTGAAACTCTGGTATTTTTTTTAAAATTGTCTTAAAGGCAATGTTTGTACTTGATGTCACAACTTAAAATTAAAGGGTCAAAGGACTTCCAAAATATGTTTTTTTAAACTAGGTTGTATTTCCTATATTATTCCTGTTTTTTATTTATTTATTAATATGAACTAGCAGTGAGTGCAGATCACTAAAACATTTCGTCACCTGGCACCAGCTGTTCAAAGGATAGCACTATCCAACAGATAAATCACTATCCAGCAGATAAGTATTAGGGAAACTCACTGATTGTGTTATCCACTGGATGGAGATTTAATCAAGTGGATAGTGTTATCCCACTTTGATGGAAAGTCTTGCTTAACAATCATTGTCTGATTATTCGCTCCAATGTTTTCATTTTTTGAGTGCGATAAAAAACATCTTGCTCATACAGTGGGCTCTTTGAAAATCAATGAATGGCAAGTAATATTTTTTTAAGGGTTAAAGGTATGAAGAACCTTTAATGTGTGCATTTTCTCTGAAACCATCTTTTGAACCTACACAGTATCAACACTTATTATTTGGCCCAACTTTGGGCACAGTTAGGGTATGCTGTTAAAGGTTTTAAACCTGGCCCTGTAAAGGACAAAAGGGTACCAAACTCTTTCTATGACAACAAACAAATTTAGATCCTTGTTTGGACAGCCTCATGCACTTATACCTTGGTCAAGACAAGACCTTCCTTCTCTATATATAAGCTGATTGGTCGAGTGGTATGAACTTTGCCCTGATTTTGTGTACACTTCCTCTTTCTCTTGAATGACATAATTACATAGTTATTCTGTCTCTGGTATTTCAAAGTCTTTAAATGCATCAACTTATGGCCAGTTTTTAATTTTTTCCCAACTTTTATGTAAACTTAGGAAATTCGTTAATAAAAAATTAACACACAATAAAATGCAACAACTGGTTCGCATGCCTAGATGAACCATTTGTCTCACAAGGGTGGTAAATGGGTTTTATGTGACGTGTGATTGGTCCCAATTTAACAGTGTGATGCGTGATTGGGTCCAAATTAGCTGTGAGAGGTGTGATTCGGCATAGCAGGGTGATGTGTGTTTTACTATTTTCATAATGCATGATGTGTGATTTTCCTTTTGGAAAACAGATAGTCATGTTATCATTTTCAGGTCCTTTTTCTTGTTCCTCAAGCTCATCCGATGTCCCGTCAAAATCGCACTATAACCACTATTCCCTCTATTGTCAGGTCAGTGAATGGTACCAGTTAATATTTGAACAACAACGGATTTCAGAGAACCCTTTTGCCTGTACAATTAAAGTCATTCAATTAACTGTCAAAGTGCGGTCCTACCCAAAAAGGATGATGAAAACAATTTATTCTGTTGGCCAGAAGCTCTTTAGAACCTTCAATTTGATAGGTTCTTTTCGGCCCGAAGCTCTATTGCTTCAGAGTTGGTGTTCATTGTTAGTTTTGTTTGGGCTAGGGCCGTCTATTGCTTTCTAAACCTGAGCTGTTCTTAGAGCTTCCAGCCCACACAATTTACTAGAGCTGATTCATTCAATGGGTTGAGATATAATTGCCATGTTTAATATCCTTCTGCAATATTTTCACCTCATTTATGTGATGCTTGATGGCCTTAAAAAAGTCATTGTGATGTGTGATAGGTAGCCCCCATTTGCTACCCTGTCTAACCTGTTTCACTGAATGCTAATCTGTTATCTCAAGGCATCATCAGTCATCAGACCGACAGGGAATTTCAACATTCATTGCCTCATTCCATTCATGGATGAAATCAACAGATTGGCCTG